GTGCAACTTCTGCTGTAGTTTTGTCTTTGGTTAATGTATGTGGTAAATACGCAGAGAGAGCAACACTCAGACTATTAGCTCCACTTACACTACTGACTGCTATTTGCTTTCTGTTTCTGCTTCACAACTGATTAACATGCAGCCTAACACAGCTAAACTTAAGGTAATGCCTACTGTACCTGTGAGTGTGTGCGTATGTAGTGGGTGTGTTTGTGTGTGTTCCCGTGATATTCAACAGAACTCATAGTTTCTTAGGCTGATGTCAATCATGGTTAAAGCATCATGTGTATATGTAGTTAGTATGTGATCAAAACATCCAACCATGTGTACAGCGGGTCTGCTGTCTGTGCTCCACTCCTGTGGCTGTCAGCGGTAAACTGATTATCACTGTTAAACCACCATTAATACACTCTCTCACTCTGTGCAATTTTGTTTGTGTGTGTTTGTAGAGTAAAGGTCGTGTTCGGCAACCCAGTGCCCACACACTCTCGCCTCCTCTCAGCCCCAGAGTCCCCCCTGTGGTGGATGGAGAGAGTGCAGGGGGAGGAGGAGATGATGGAGCAGAAGCTGGGCTCAGTGAGCAGCAGCAGATGGCGATGCAGCAAGAAGAGCAAATCCTCACAGAGCAGATTGAAAGTCTGCAGAAGGAAAGGTACTAAGGTTTATACTGTGTGACGTAAGTGGGGAAAAGTTTCTGTAAAGCTACGAAAGCATAAAGGAGATACAAAAAGAAACTTAATAAATATCCAGTTTTAAAATGGTAGCAAATTAACCTGAATTCTTCAACTGTAACATCCACAGATTTTCACAAGATTAATTTTGGCAGATGCATCACTCAGTAAACCTCTACAGATTTTTAAAAAATTACTGTTCCAGTGAGGACTGGTAGCTGTAAATGTCTGTTCAGTCCTAGGTATTACCTACCAGATGTGTGTTATATGGATCACTTCAGGGACACACAAAGTTGTTTGCTATGATAAAGGCCCAAAGTTAATTTGGATAAAGCACCACCTGAATGTTAATTTGTGTGTGTGTGTTGGCAGAGAGGAGCTGACCTATGAGATGTTGATCCTGGAGCCCCGATCATCCGATGATGAGACTCCTGAATCTGAAGCCTCCATTGGCACAGCAGACAGCTCGGAAAACATCACCATGGAGACAGAGGGAGCCACCTCCTATCCCTCTGGTATGTGTGTGTGTGTGTCCACTAGCTCCTCATGCTTGGATCCTTTTTCAGTGGCATTGTTTGGATGAGTGTTGTTAAGTGTGTCCTTAACACCTCTCTGCCATGGCTGCTGCGCTTCCCTCCACAGAGTGCGGTACTTACCGCTCCAGAAAGTCTGAGCCCAAAAGCAGGCGAGCTCTGTGGCGACAGCCTAACTCCCAGGACTCTGTAGACTCCACCTCCACAGTCTCCTCCTCCTACCACCCCTCTTCCTCTTTCTCCTCCAATGCTTCTGGCTCTCCATCCCCTCACTACCGGTTCCGTTCCTCCTCCTCCGGGCCTTTGCTCACTTCCTGCGGTTTGGGGGCCCCATTGGCAGAGGCAGAGGGTGGCCACAGAGACAGCAAGACAAGACACAGGCTCAGGCTGAGCCGCAGCTCACCACGCGAGCCATCAGGAGGTCACCGGAGGGACTCGGACTTCAGCTCGGGGCCACAGCAGCTGGTTCTGTACGGCAGCAATGAATTCATGGTGTGAAGCTGAGGAAAGAAGAAGCACCACTGTTTGAGTGCAGGAGGGTGTGCAAAATGGGGAGGAGGAAGAGTCCGGAGTGGGACAAGGCTGGTTACAGGGCAAGGTTTGTGCCCAGTGTTGCTTGCTGCCCCTCCTCAGTGCCCATCCCCCTCCTACCCTGGTCCAGTCAAAGCAGAAAAGATGTGGGAATAAAATAAGAGGAGACTGGGGATATAACACAGAGGGACAACACAGGTGGTCAAAGGAGGAAACAGACAACAAATGTGAAGAGCAAAAAACTGAAGTTACCTGTTCAGCCATGTTTGTTAAACTTCTGATCACAGTGCTGTTTGACCCCTGCTGAAGTACCAGGGGTCGGTCACAGGAGAGAGAAGAAGAAGAAGGGAAGGACAGGTGATGAGACAAAAAACCCCACACCTGCACAGCCTAGTCCTACAGTGCCCCGTCTTTAGCTTTCAGCATGTGGGCAGGTGGTTAAAGCCACTCAGAAGAGATGTAGCCATATTGACTGTACTGGCGGACATTTTGTCTGTAACCAGTGCCAGGCTAAGTCTGCTTTTAATGTTTACACAGGACACACCAGCCAAGAGGCTGCATGCTTCTCCATCCCACTTTTTCTTACATTAGTTTGAAGAAACTGTACAGAAATATGTTATAACTGTATTATTATTATTATTATTATTATTATTATTATTATTATTATTATTATTATTATGCTACAGAGGAAAAATGTACATAGAATGAAACTGCAGTGCTGCTCCTGGTTGTCCATGGTTGATTATTGTCTCTATTTCTTGTTTAGCAAAGTGTCTGGATTCAGGTTCCACTTTTGTTTCTGTGGTGGTTTTGTTCTCCTGTCTTTTTTGTGCTGTTTCACAATGAATAGAGCCACTTTTGAGGTTCCTCTGGTGATACCCTTAAGAAGCAGTAGAAGGAAAAGCATCTGCACTATGTAGGGTGTGATGTACTTGACCTGATGTGTCAAATGTCAGTCAGCCATAAGTGTTTTGTATCTGCCTTGCCCTGCAAGCTTTTGTTTTCCTTCTGTTTTATTCAGAAACATCAGTATTACTACATCAGGACTTGAATTTTTTTATATATATTATTGATGTGTTATAGATGTTAATATCAATGTTTTTGTCATCAATATTGTTTCATTTTTGTTCAGATGAAAGCCATTTTTTCTTTCCTGTCCGTTTCCATGCATGCCTGAATGACTGAATCATTTCTGCCACTGCGCTCACACAGTTTCCCAAAACTTGTGCTTCTTGCACGTAAGAGTGAAAAAAGTCTCTGCAACCATCAAGTGACACTAAAACTATTAGTCTGAGATTTGTTGCACCTGTAGGGACACTCTTGACTCATTCACACTCTCAACCTGGCCATGTTGTCCTCTGAGCTGTCCAAAATACTTTCTTCTTCTTCTTCTTCTTCTCTTTTATTAAACATAACAGTAGCTCTTTCACTTATCTCCCGGCTCTGGCTGTGAAAAGTAGCATTTAATCTGCCTATTAACCAGAAAAAAGCAAGTAGCAACTAACTCAGATGATCCACATCTTTCTACATATTCTTACTCTTGCTGTCTGTGTCCATATAATATCAAAACAGTCGGTGTAACATTCAGTTTCATGGGCCTACTCAGTAGCTTGACAGCAATGATGTCACTATAGTAAAGCTGCAATATCTCTCCTTGTGTACTGCATCTGTGATCAACTGTTTCTGGGCGATCTTTGCTCTGATCACAAACACAGTGTTAATCTTAATTTCTTGAAGCTGGATATCTCGGTGAGAACTGTGCTAATATCAGTTTTCATACAGGTGTGGGGACTTGCAGCGTGTTGTCTTTTTACAGTGTAAAGTGCTCAGAAACGAGCTGAAAGTACAAAACTGATTCCTGGTAAAGTAACTATTTGTACATGTCCTGGCTGATCCTATGGCATTCTGCAAAGGCAAAAAAAAAAAAAAAGTGTATGTACCTGTCACTGGAAGGCATGTTCTGCTTTTTCTGGTTGTTTTTGTTCCTCTTTTGCACACAGTGTATGTACTATTTATGACCATGCTTTTGGGGTGTACATTGGTTTCAAAGAAAAGGTGTTATAAAAGGATATATTATCCTGTGTACGGTTCATTATCTACTATTAATCATGGTGACATTTTAACAGGCCACTCCATCTGTCATGTTTGTGCTCCAAAGTGAAAAAAGAAAAGAAAAGCGTTGTGTCTCTGTCCACGCCATTCTGAACATCATTATGTACAAGGTGCAATTTGTGTTTTATTTCTTTTTTAATGATAAAAATGTCTATGGTTGTAAGAAAAAATACTTTACAAGGGAAAATCATCTGCTTATTAAAAAAACAAAACTGCAGCCAAACAAAAATTTGTTGTGTAATATTTTGTGAGGCTGATATTTGTGTGTCTTTGTTGGGACATCGCACATTTGAGCTTTTCATTCAAGATGTCCTGTGGACTTTTCTTGTAAAGAAAACTTACACTCTTCAAATATTTGCATAGGTGACTTTGAAACTGAGTTCTGCACAGTCTTCTTCTTCAGCTTCTTTGTTGGCACATTGTTGTATTTTTTTTTCTTTGCATGTTACTGCCACCAGCTGTTGGTCCGTGGAACAGCGAAAAAACAGGAATGGATGCAGTGACACAGACCAGTCCATGCACACGCACAAACAAATTACTGCTGCACTAGTGGTGTAATAGTATATTTATCTAACATGGAATCACTGCAGTGTTTCTCAGTAGACAGTCTGTCTGTGGTACCCTCATTTTATTGTTATTGTTAATTTTGAAGCTATAAGTTTGAGCTGCTTATTTATTTGAATAGATTTAAATGTGTATGGGTCATGTGTGTATGTAAAACAGTCTGAGCTCTTGTTGTTCTAAATACAACACTCACATGTGGTGTGGTTATAACATGATGTGGTCTATATATGTATATATATATATATATATATATCCCATATTTTCCAATTTTGTATTTTTTACATTTCATCTTATACTATTTAATTTGATCCCTTTAATTTTTGCTTTAGTATAATGTATTATGCGTAACAGCACTTTTAATTAAGTAGTAAAATGAGTGTGATGTTTCTGTAGCTACTATTTCCATCTGTCAAACATTTTTTTTATTATAATGTGACGACTTTTATTCTTTTGAACCTCTTTATTCTTCTCTATGTTATGGAAGCCCATTCCTATGTTGCGTAACCAAAACAAAAGCTTCTTCTTCTTCCGGACAGCCACCGCTGCTAAAATGAAACCACACGAACAACGGGGAAGGTTTCACCGAAAATACCTTTTGTTTCGCAGCTGCGGCGCATCGACCGACGAGCAGGGCAGCAGAAACGTTTCTTTGGAAGAAGAAAAAGAAAGAAAAGAGAATATGGAGAGTTTCTGTTTCACCAAAATGAAAGTAGAAAACTGCGTGTATGTAGGTTTTGTAACGCTGTGACAGTGATTCACCTCCGGATGACTTCAGTCTTACAGTTGATCCGCGTGCAGTCTGTCACAGCTCTCAGGTGACACCAAGTCCGACTGGAGCACGGTGGGTTTATTCTTTATACTGCCATTTTACTAACTGTACAGTTTCTCGCTTTATCTCATATAAGTACTGTTTCTTTTGATTAGTCAGTTTGAATACAGAATGTCAATTTTTAAAAAATTGTTAGACATGACTTTATCGGTTCGTCAAAGCCTGACCCAAAATGTCTCTATTGTGAAATTTTCTAGATGTCTGATGACCGAGCCGTCGTTTTCTTTGACCTGGAGGCAACTGGATTAGGTAACATTAACTTCATGTTATTATTGTCTGTTTATTAATATTGTAATAATATTGGAAAATTAGCTTTCATCTAAAAACAAGGTCTACTTAGTGGAATTTACAAGTACTTGAAAGAGTAAATGTACTTAGTTACTTTCTACCAGCTGTGGAAGAAGATTCCTCACTAACTAACTACTAATACCACAGTGTAGCTACAAATACTCTATTTCCAGTAAAACTCCTCCATTCAAATGTTACTTAGGTAAAAGTACAAAAGTATCATAGTATACTATAATATATAATATATGATGTTGATGCTTATGAAGTTCCCACCAGTGATCAGTACAGTCTTATAATTATACTGTGTTCTGTTTTATTCATCTAATTTTGAAAAGTAACTAAAGTTATCAAATACATGTAGTGGACTCAAAAGTACATTATGTCTCTAAAATCTAGTGAACCCAAAGTGTGAAGTAAGAAGAAAATGTAAATACTCAAGTAAGGTACAGATACCTGAAAAGTGTACATAGGTACAGTACTTTAATAAATGTACCTAGTTTCTTTCCACCATTGTTTGAAGTGAGACTTTTACTGATTAGATAAAGTGTAGTATCTCCAGCGTTTCCTTTGGTAGCTACATAAAAATTAATTGTTAACCATACTTGTTTTTATCAGCCCAGTCTGAAACTCCACCTGTTCACAGTCCTCCATCAGCTGGAACCTTTTCATAATAAGGATGTAAAGTCTGTTTCAGTTTCTATTGTTGTTGGTTTCTATTCCCACACAGTCTGAGTTATGTTTATTGTATTGAGAAATTAAAGCTTACATCTTGGTTAGACAAAGGGTTGGGCTACCATTACACCCGACTGACTTTATTAACCAATCAGATTGCACAACAGGGCAGGCTTCTGTGTGGAACTACCGCAAATTAAGAAATGCTCTTCCTGTGGTTGCAGCATGGCGCCTCTGTTAAAAAGAAATTGCAGACTACAGAATGAATTATCACACACATTCTACAAATATTGCATATACTCAAATACTGAATGCAGACTCCTGTGAGCTTGGCAAGTTTAAGGTTGGATTGCAAAACCAGCAGCTACTTTAAATCACTAATTTTGTTGTATATAACAATAGATCAGATGAGTGCAAGGCAAATTATTAAACAGCTCTTTTAAATGATGATGAGCATTTTTCAGTTTCAAAGACCAACTGAATAATGAAATGGTTTTTAAGTATGCCAGTTGAAATTACTCTTCCTGTCATTTTGTCCTTAAGCAACAACATGACCAAAATTACAGGCTACGAGGATTCATTTCATTGTTACTTTAGAGCCAAGTGTGTGAGTTTGTGGTTTTGATTGCGTATGGGTGTGTGCACTGACTCACTCACTCGCCTGGCAGGACTTTACAACAGAAAACTTTATGTGCAGTTAGCATGAGCGTGGCGAACAGAAGGCACCGCCTACCCAGAACAAAAAGCAGAGACCACAAAGCATTAGCAGCTCACTCCACAGGTGCTGACAGAGAGACACTGTCACTGAAACTCACCCGGCATGTTGTGCATTCTATGACTGTAGTGAGTGAATGTACAAACACTGTTCCTGTTCCCCAGAGTTACTGCTGCTTGCATTATTACACTACATCTAATTTTGAGGTACCTTACTTGAGTATTTGCATTTTCTGCTATATCCTACTTTGGGTTCACTACATTTTAGAGGCAAATAATGTACTTTTGAGTCCACTACATTCATTTGATTACTTTAGTTACTTTTTAGAATCAGATGAATAAAATTAGACACCGTATAATCAGAAGACGATTGATCCCTGATGGCAAATTCACAAGTTACCCAGCAGTGCTTCAAATTACTATATCAGTATAAAAGGTTGTTAAAATTAGCTCCACCTTGATATGTACAATAATGCATCAAAAGTTATAATCCATTAATATAGCTACATTAATGTGAAATGTCCCATTCTGCATAATGAGTACTTTGGCTTTGGTGCTAATACTTTTGTACTTTTACTTCCAATTCAAGACGTTTACTTGTAGCAGAATATTTTTACACAGTGGTATTGCTACTTTTACTTAAATAAACAATCTGAGTACTTTTCCACCACTGTGATTAACAATATGAGGATAAAGTATAAACAGTGCCCATTGTTATCACTTGGTTTAAAGGAGGAGTTTGGCATGGATGAGAATTTAGATTAAAACAATTCTGTAAACTATATATTAAGCTAAATTAGCTTAGTTTAGCATGAAGCAAGGAAATGGGGGAAACAGCTAGACTGGCTCTGTGTAAAGGTAACAGTTGCTATTGTCATATCACCTACCATCACATCACACAGTCAGTTCATCTCTGCTAAGAAAAAAGCACAACAGCAAGCAGTGGCTTTATCATTTTAGCTATTGCATCCTATCTTTATGTATATTTTCTCTTTCTGTTCTCCTCTCCTCCTGTAATCTGCCCCTCCTCTTCTTCCAGACACTGCAGTGTGTGACATCATCCAGGTGTCAGCCGTCTGTGGAGAGAAGGCCTTTAATGTCTACATTCTCCCCCGTCGCGCCCTCACTGAGAGCGCAGCCCGGGTCACGGGCTTCACTGTCAGCGGTGACCGCCTGTTGCTCCGCGGGGCCCCAGTGGACACCACCCCTCTTGTTGAGGCTCTCACCTCTTTCATCGCCTTCCTTCGGTCCTTCCGCCGCCCTGTGTTGCTGGTGGCCCATGGTGCATTGCGATTTGATATACCAGTGCTCACCAGAGTGCTGAAGCAATATTCGCTCTGGCAGGAGTTCCAACAGGTGGTGTCTGGATTTCTGGATACCTTGCAGCTAAGCAAGAACCTGTTTCGTGGTCTGGGCAGTTATTCTCAGGAGTATATGGTCCAGCACTTCCTGGGAAAAACCTACAATGCCCATAATGCAGTGGATGATGCCAGGATGCTGCAGGAGCTGTACAAAATGTGGAGACCTAGCAGAAGGAGTATTTCGAAGTGTATCTTCAGTACAACAATGTTTTGAAAAAGTTACAAAAAAATCAAATCAAATGAGGTATAAATTATATTTCTGGTCATAAAATAAACAGAAATACATAATAATGTAATGTATAAATAATGTATGTTACACCCCAAAGTGAAAGATATGCCATGTTCATGTCGGATAATGATTTGATATTATTTAGTTTTGTAATTTTGTTGTCTAATAAATTAATAAAGTAATATATTTCATACTTGCATGTTGTTCTTTGTTGTCATTCTGTTAATTGTAGCAAGGTTTTCACACAAGTATCATTAAACTTTTATTTAATCCTGCTATACTTGATATTTTTGAAATATTAGTTGCACCAAAATTTTGCAATAACAGGGAAATCTCTCTCCAGAATAATCCTGGTTGACCAGCAACTTCAAGGCATTGTATTGTTTAACAGTTTTTTTTTCTGCTATCATTTTTATTACTCGATCTACCTACAGTGTTGCTTAATGACCAACAGCCAGCCATTTCTCCAAGGGTTTGCTGCAGAGCATTCTGGGAAATGTAGGACATCACTACCTAGAATGAGCCAAGACAGGTGAGTTAAATTTGATCCCTTTCTGAATGTGCTTAAAGCAGATATTTGTTTGTTTACACATAAACATTTCTTCTCTCAAATATTAAAAACATCACATTTATAAAGTATTGTTAAAGTGCTGATCTTTTTATGGCGTCTTTGCCGTCATTTCTTGATCTATATTTGGTTCTGTATGTGAATAATAGTTAAATATGCGACTGGTGTGTGTTGTTGAATTTTATTTTCATGTGTTTGTCTTAAGCCATACTTTTATTTTGAAAGTTTTGATTTTCCGGTCCGAGCTCTTGCAGGCGGTTAAAACACCTCAAGAGCACCTGGGTGCAGATTCCATGTAGCTGGCTAATTTACAGAGTGCCAGTGACTCCAGCCCGCGTTTGTTACGGTTATTCTACAAAATGTAAGTGTTACAGGTTGATTTTATAAATGAAGGTCGTGGCGTGATGCAGAACTCAGAGTCATTCGGAGCTGAAAACTCTCAACAGTCCCTCGTTTTCTTTGACCTGGAAACAACGGGACTGGGTAAGTTCATTCGTTACGTGCCATTATATCTATTAGAATAGATAAAACTAACACACTTGTTTTTATTTTATGTGGGCATAATTGTATGTGTCGTTTCAATGTGTCTGAGGGACATGACTGCGACCAAGACTTGCTCCCTGTCATTGTCGCCCGGAAGTTGGGTTACGATTACGGTTAACGTTAACTCTCAACTATAGATGCATTAATGGAAAGACTATAAACCCTATTCCTAATTCTAGTACCTAACCTAACTCCAACCGTAAATTTCACCGTAAAGCTGCCGAGGTGAACAAATTCCGGTCATAA